TATGTTTTTCTGTTTCTATTACTCGTTCCAGAGTGGAGGTGGCTCATTCAGATGAATAAGGACCAAAAGATTTTGGACCCTGTAGGAGTGATCGCTATAGAATAACCAGCCCAGAGCACCAAACTCTATTTCAAATATCCCATTACACACAAAAAAAAAAACCATTCAAAAAGCACAGAGATTCTTTATTTCAGCCCAGGTCAATTTCTTGCTCTAGGCAGAAGGGATGAAGCCCTTTGCTTAACATTCCTCCCAGAAAAGACACAACCCAAAAGTACCAAGTCAAGCACACATCATTGCCAAGTGGACTTTTTTACTGTTGCAAAAAATAAAACAAGGAAGGATTCAATTCATGTGATCAGAGTGAGGATTTTAAAATACTTTTTTATGAACTTAAGCCTGAGGAGAGGCTGGAGGAATGCAGGGTGCTGAGAACTTCTGCAAACGTGTTTCCAAACCCCTGGAGCGTGTGCTTAATCCAGCCACAAACAGGTGACTTCTGTCTCCCACCAGGTTCCTTTCCCCCCTAAACACAAAAGTCAGGCTTCTTTCCCAGTTCTGGTAAAATCACTTCTGATACACAGAGTTACTGAAGCCTGGCCACATCCCTCAATCCTTCAAAACTCTGAAATTCCCACTTGCAACTGTCTCACTCCGGAGGTGTCTATTTAATCCCACTTTTATTGGGAGCACAGCTCGGGGTACTTTACAGGGGTTACAAACAATGAAGCTTTCATCAAAACTTCAGTAATCAGTCTCTAACAAGCTCTCAGGAAGGAGCTAGGCAGGCCCAGGCTAAAGCTAACCTGAGGGGATAAGAAAAAGGGGGAAAGAAAAGGACTGGGAAGAGAGTGTTCTTCTCAAACCGGATTAGTGCCCCAGTCAGCCACAGAAACACTTGTGAGAGCACAGCAGCCATAAAAACCAGTGAGAAGTGGACACAGAGCAGACACTGCTCCTTTCAACCAGGATTTGCTCCCAGCAGCCCAAAGTGCTGTGATGAACTATTATTTATTCCTTGTTTTGTGGCTCCATGACACTCAGCAACATAGAATTGCACTGAGTAAATATTAATATAAATAATCCAAAATATAAATCCTCCGTTTTCAGCCTGCATGAACTCACAACCAAACCAAGATTGTTGTTGGTAGCCTGAACATGGTGGGCTGAGGACACCTCCCCAGGAAACATGGTAGAGTCTGAAAAAATCAAAAAAAGGTTTGAAAACCTCTGATCTCATAATAAGGAGAGCTGGCAAAATTAGATTGCCAGAACTTCAGTCCAGTAGATGACTAGATACAGAGAGAGGAATATACATCATTCTCTTTAGGTAAGGGATAAAAATTACTTTAACCTGTGTACACGTACACAGAACACCCCTCCCAAATTCACAGCAGTAAAACATCTATTGCACACCATCAGATATTCTCTGTTAGGCACTTGCAGGACAAGTCAGGGGTTGAGTGAAAAAAAGAGATGTTCTTATAGCATATTAATAGGGAGGAATAGGGAGAAAAATGCTTGGCTCTAAGGAAGGGAGGGATACTAGATCTTAAATTTAATTTGAGCTGCTCTTAGTCAGTTCTTTATTGTTCTTGAGGGTGGAGAGACGGGAGTACTTCAAGAGAAAAGATGATTTTTTCATCTTGCCTCTGACGATGAAGAACTCATTCCAAATTTCACAGATCACTCTGGAGAAAGATAGAAAAGAATTTTTACTGAGCAGATTTTATGTGGACCTTGGAGTTACCACCTTGCTCCTCGCCAGCCCTGGGGAAAAAGCGAGACTCGGATTGCAAAGGCAGCAAAAACAAAACAAACCTGCAGAGATCTGGAGCCATTGAAGGGGTCCTGGTTTCTCTATCCTCCTAGTAAAGCCAAGAGAAGCCAATATGGGCTATTGTGTTCTGTTCCCCCAACACACACCCCGTTCCCAGAGCTCAGCATCCTTGGGAAACGCAGAGCGGTCCAGGTGGGTGCAGGTCTCTGTTCCCCTGCTGGGCTGGGCACTCAGCTCTGAAGCTTTTTCAGGTTTCTGTGTTCAGCTGCACACACACCTGAGATCCACACCAGGAAAGTGGAGCCTGTACCTACACGCTCAGAGGAGCAGGGCCCCAGAGGCACAGCCAGTGTCTTCCTGCAGGGGGAAAAGTGTGTGCTGCGTGCGTGACAAGGACAGGCACAGCACCTGAGCCAACGGTGGGGATGGCACCAGGCGAGGATGAGGAGGATCTTGCTCTCCTGCAGCACTTGGGAAGCCTTTAAACACTTTCCAAGGCAGCTGGCTGGAGAGGTTTGCACTTAACCCCAGCTGGCTGGGGATACAGCTCAGCCCAGCTCGAGGTGCCACAGGCTCCTCTACCCAGCACAGCTCACTGCCCACTCACAGAGCCAACAAGGCTGCTGAAACCCAGCCCCAATCTGCTCCCAGTGATGGACGCTGGCCTCAGACTCCTACCTTGAAACTGATTTCAGTTTGGTATTTCGTCATCTCTCGCCAGCTCCCTGGTGTGTTTCTGCAAGGCAAACATCTCCAGAGCTCTCCAGAAAAAACCCAGCATTTAGAGAGCAGAGAGGCAGAGTGCTGGATCTCCTCATGCTCTCCTCATGCCTTGGCAGAAGGGAGCAGCAACAGGTCTGTACTGAGAGCTGGTGATGTTTCGAGGCAACCCTGCATGCTACTTGCAGGATAAATGCATTAAGAAAATTAAATGTTTTTACAGCTGTCACAGCATCAAAGCTTTATTCTCTCCACTCTTTAAATTAAGTGTTGGTTTGTATATCCATGCCATCCCAGCTATGTAATAACCTCTCTAAAGCTATTTTTGTTTCACATTCCTTACTATTTGGTAAAGCAAGCTGGAGTTTTCTGAGGACACGCGTTTTTATTAGAGCTAATTCAGCATTGTTTTCTAACCCGTTTCCTTTGTTGGAGGCAGACAAATCAGCTAAGGGAAGCTCGAAGGCAGCAGCACCCCATGCCTGTGAGGGAAACTGCCTTCCCCACCTCGCCATAGCCGGGCTGCTCCTCTAGATGGCTCTGCCTTTGCCCAAAAACATCAAATCCCTGGAGCAAAAACCTCAATTTCGAGCGATACGGCGATACCACTGACTGCTCCTCTCCCTGCTGCAGCAATCGCGGGGGCTTTGGCCAAACGGATAAACACAGATTTGTTGCAATTTTAGAGAATAATATTTTCGGCTTAGCTCTTCAGACTTAGAGGAAAATTGCTTCTTAAAAGTCTACCTGTTTCTTGTCCTTTAAATGCCCTTTCTAGCTGTGATTTCTCTGTAAACTGTTTGTTTTGGATGCCTGCTGTCCCGTCAGACTCCAAACCGGCATTTTCCGCCGCGACCCTGCTCTAAAGAAGATGAGTTGTTATAAATCTTAAAGAGAAGGAATCTGAGAAGTGAAAAAGCACCTTGTGAAACGTAATGTAAAATTTTCTCCTGCTGCTCTGGGCATCCAAATATACACGGAAAGCTCTTTTCCCAAGGGGTGCAGAATCAAATCAGCAAAAGCAACAGTGACGGCAACAAAATAACAACAGAAAAAGAAAAAAAAAAAAACACACGCGCGCACACACATAAAAACCCAAGAAAACAAAACCAAAAAAAACCAAAAAACCCTCAATCAACTCTTTATGATTAAAGTGAAAAAAAACCCCAACCAAATCCTAATTCTTTAACCCAGACACTTTTCAGTTATTTTCTGTCTCAAAAAAGGTTTTTTCACTTGTTTCAAAACGAAATACAAAGTTGGAAATCCTTCGGCTATTATATCCCTGCTCAAATCACGCACGGGATGAAAATTTGGGATTGAAGTCAGCTCGGGAAAGCTTCACTGGTTTACATGTGCTTTTATAGATATTTTATGAAAGACATAAAATGCAAAGACTTTTCCCAAACGCTCCTCTCTGCCCCAAATCCTGTTGTCAGACAAGACACCCGGCGCTTGCAGAGAGCGCTTCGTGTACACACCAGGAAAGGGCATTTTTTTTCTTTTTGTCATTTTTTACCAGCAGAAAACTGCATAACAACTCCTTTTAAGAACGGGGGATGAAATGTACATCTCATGTACCTGGTATTTAGACAAAGTCTCTAAATCGCCCCGCACCATTGACCGTATTTTTGTTGTCACACGTGTGCTTTGCCCCAGACCAGAAAATTTGCCGGAGCTGGCCCCTGTTAGATCCCGGGTGTCGGGATCGTTATGAACACCGAGAGCTTTTTCTCGGCAAGAGGATGCGCTTTTCGTTCAGGCTGCCCCGGAGCACTAAGGCGAAAATGACTTTTATTCAAACTTTTATTCACCAAATCTCGCCCCGCGCCCTGCAGCCCGTTCCGCCCGCGGTACGAGCGAAGACACCGGCGGGGTTTGTTTGTTTAATTTCGGGCAATTCCTTATCCAAAGTTAATGAACGGCGGCTGTTGGGAGACGGGCGGCAAAACTACACTTCTAGAAGAGAGTTTAAGCGAATTCCTCCCTTGGCGCTCCCGTCGAGGGAAGCGCAGCGATGCTCATCCCCCTCCGACCTCAGCGGCGGGGCCGGAGGGATCGGGGGCGATGGCACCCGTGGGAAAGCAGGATGGCATCCCAGAGCGCCGGGACAGCTCCGGGGAGGGGGGCAACCGGCAGAGACCCCCAGGTCGGGAAGGGGGGGCACGGGCACAGCACGGGGGGGGTGGGTCCGGCTCGGGGATGCTGTGCCCCCGCGCTGCCGGGAGCCAAATCCCTGGCGCCTCCCGCAGCTCCCCCGCCGGTCCCTCCCCCCTCGCCGCTCTCGGGGCCCGGCCTTGCCCCCCTCCGCCTCCCTGCCCGCCGCCGAGCCGCGCTACTGGCTGCCGGCTGCGCGCCGCCGCTGCGCGCCGCCGCCCGCCCAGCCCCGGCCCCGCCGCGGGCGGGGAGCGCGGGCGCACGGCAGCGCCTATAAGGGCGCCGCGCCGCAGCCCCCCGGGAGGTTTTTGGTCTAGGGCCACCGGGGCCGCGGGGCGGGGGGTGTCGCCGGCAGAGCACGGGAGCGGCGGGGAGCGCCGGCCGCCCTGCATGGCCAGGGATTATGAGCGCCGGTGAGTTGCAGCAGGCGCAGCCCAGAGCCTCGGCGCCGGCGGCCGCCCCCGCGCCCCCGCAGCCCCGCAGCGCGCAGGAAGCCCCCGACATGGCCGTGTACTGCAGCGAGAACTTCAGCGTGCCGCCGCCGCCGCCGCCGCGCCCTTCCTGCCGCCCGCCTCGTACGGCTGCTCGCGGGGCGGGCAGCTCGTGGGCTCGCCCCCGGCGCCCGGCTCGCCGTCGGCGGGCGGCGCGGAGCTGAGCTGGCTGAGCCTGGCCAGCCAGGAGGAGCTGCTGAAGCTGGTGCGGCCGCCCTACTCGTACTCGGCGCTGATCGCCATGGCCATCCAGAGCGCGCCCGAGAGGAAGCTCACCCTCAGCCACATCTACCAGTACGTGGCCGAGAACTTCCCCTTCTACAAGCGCAGCAAGGCCGGGTGGCAGAACAGCATCCGCCACAACCTCAGCCTCAACGACTGCTTCCGCAAGGTGCCCCGCGACGAGGACGACCCCGGTGAGGTGCCGCGCCGGGCGGGAGGGATGGCTGGGCAGCGGGGAGCGGCGGGGGCGGACACGGCACCGCCGTCAGAGAGGGGCGGCAGCGTCCCCGTGGCCGGCGGGTCGCCTGTCCCCTTCTAGTCAGTCGCTGTCCCACACCGCGCTCCCCGTCCCCCCAGGGCCAGCGCTATGATGAGCCCGCGTTTCTCCATCCCTTCTAGTCGGGTGCTGTGATGGGACCGCGCTGCCCTGACCCGGGCGCTGTGATGCGACCCTTCCCTTTCGCCCCAGCCCGGCCCGGCGCTGCCCTGCCAGAGGTGTAGGCGGGTCCGGCCGCCCCCAGCCCTCGCCCGCTCCCCGAGCAGCCCGGGAGCGCCGGTTGTGCAAGGCCCGGCTCCTTCGGGCCGTGATTCACGGCTCCCCTCCCTGCCCGCCGCTGCCCGGGCCGGCCCCGGGGCACAGCCGGTGCCCGAGTGGGCGGAGGCGCGCCCGGACAGCGCTGCTCCGGCCCGGCGGTGCCGGGACGTGCCGAGCTGGAGCCGCTCCGGACCTTGTGGGGTCACTGCGCCCGTCCCGGCCGTGGGCAGGGAGAGTGGGGACAGCTGATGCCAGCACAGTACCCAGCACCGAGGCTTGTGCGAGAGGCAGCTTGTCTGCAGCTCAGTGCTGCTGGCCTGCCGTCCCCGCGGAGTGCCTGAGTGTGCCAGCCCATCTCTCCATCAGCTTCTCTATGAGCTATGGTCCGGGCACTGCCTTGTCACCACTGCTGAGATGGCTGTAAGTGGCCCAGCTTCTGTGAGGCAGCCAGAGCAAGCCTCTTCACATTCTCTTTAGCCAGGCTGGAGGTACAGGTGCAGATCTGTTTGTGCTTTAGGATGGCGAGATTCTCCTCTTCTATGTGGCCTTAAGGTTCACTTGGGCATTGGAGGGATGGAGGTGGAAATGTCCTGGAGACAGGTTTTGGATCCATGTACTGGACAGCAGAGGGAGGAGGAGCAGGTGCAGGAGGGATGTGGGTTCTGTGCCAGCTGGACAAGACATGGATGCTGCTTATCTGTCAGCAGCGGGTCTCACTGTCGCAGAAGTTGACTTTCTCTCTTGTGTCTCCTGTTTTCCACCAGGGAAGGGAAACTACTGGACCTTAGATCCCAACTGTGAGAAGATGTTTGACAATGGGAACTTCCGTCGCAAACGCAAGCGGCGCTCTGAGCCCAACGCGCCCGCGGCCGCCTCTGCCGCCTCCTCTCTGGGGGGCCTGAAGGCCGAGGAAGAGAGACCCATCCCAGCCACAGGCAAACCATGTGGAAACAGCCCACCCCCAGAGCTGGACCCCTCACCCTCTGCCAGGGACCATCCCAAAAGCTCCTCTCCCTCCAGTATCATTTCATCCACGCCCAGCTGTCTCAGCACCTTCTTCAGCGGCATGAGCTCCCTGAGCGGCGGGGGCAGCCGGCTGGCGGGGGGTCTCAGCAGCGACCTGCATCACAGGAACTTCTCTGCTGGACAGCTGAGCAGTGGCACTTTCACCCCTTCCAGCAGCTCTTCTCAGGAGGTGCCTTCCCCAGAGCAGCTGCAGCGGGTCGCGGGACCTTCCCCTGCCTACTACAGCTCCTTCCACCCCAGCAGCGGCAGCCAGGGAGCCCAGTACAACCACTACTACAACTTCACAGTCAACAGCCTCATCTACACACGGGATGGGACAGAGGTGTAGGGTGCTGGGGCAGCCAGCCAGTGCTGCAAAGGGAAAGGGAGTTGGACCGTGCGCTTTTGCAAACAGCATTTCAACGTGGACACTTCCCAGGAGTTCTTCCAGGAAGACTGATCTTCTCATCTTTCGAAATAAGAACACCCCTTAAGCACCAGCAGAAGGCAGATGCAATGTTTTTTTCCCCCTTCCGTGAAAGCGTTAGGTGGTGTAGATGGTTTGCCATCTAAACTTTGCAGGCGTGAACTGAATTAATGTTTTCAGAGGTTTCCAATCCTGAATGTAGAACAAGAAGTTTAAAAACCATAGCCATAAAGTGGTATTGGCAAGAGCCAAGCGTAGACATCCAGTGAGTCTTAGAAGAGAGCAGGAAAAAAAAAAAATGAAGAGATTTCTTATGAAGTGCCTTGTACAATGTATTAAAAAACCTCTTCTGCCAGCAATTGCCTCTGTAAGCCCTTGCTTGTGCCCTGATCCTGCAATATGCAATGCACAGGGGGAACACCCTGTATAAACCCCCACCCAAAACCTCCTCAAACCCACAGAGGGTCTTCCTGTGCCTGGCATATTGTACAGCAGGGCTGTGTCTTGTAAAACAATCTTCTTTCCCTGAGCTTAGTACCAAAGAGAACTTTAGCCATGCAGCTTTAGCACAAGAATAAACACTGGGGTATTTTTATACATATTTGTACGTAATGTAACTCTTCTGTACATACATTTCTATGTGGTTTTATATTTGTAAATTATGCTCTGGAGCTGTACTTATTTATAATGTGTTTTAAACTTTGTTAAAGTTTATTTTACTTTGTTTCCCCCCCTTTTTGTTGTTTTATTTGTTTTGAATTTTTTTGTTGGTTTTGTTTTTGTTTTTAGTGTACTACTGAAACTTTTCAGGCTGAACAGCTGTCGGGAATAAAATATTAACAATTGTTAGATATTGGCCGGATTCATCAGTATGTTTGAAGTATTTTAAAATTCTGTGGGAGACAGGTTTTTCTTTCACATCATTTGGGATAAAAGGTGTAAAAATTTATTAACAATTTCATCTGTGCAGTGTGGTGGGAAAAAAAATGGCTTTGCTCCCAAAGGAGACGCATCTGAGCTGGTTTGCAGTTTCTTGGAGTCTCACTGTGCAGTGTGGGCTCTGTGTCGTTTTCGTTTGTTTGTTTTTCTCCACGGTCTGAATCGCAACTGTCCTTTTTCAGCCCGGTTTGGTAAAAAAAGAAGAAAAAAACCCCAAAAACAACAGTAAAAGAGGTGGGGCTGGTCCCAGCGTGGTGCCAGCTAGCAGGAGGCCCAGTCCCTTTTGCAAATCAGTTTCTCTAATGGGATTGCACCTGCTTACACTGTCGCCAGTGAAGAGCTGGGACCAGTCAGCCAGAGGGCCAGGCAGCTCTTTTGGGAATCCTTCCTGATTTCCTGCTGCTGGGAAAGGAGAATCCATCCTCCATTACACTACACCCCCTCATCCCTGCCGTGTCCCGAGCTGTTTGTCGGGGGCTGTGTGCAGACAGAGCACAAATGTAGGTGTCTTCATGAGGAATGCAGCATCCCCGATGAAGTTAGGCATGAAATTGCAGCTGTTTAGCGCACAGGCATCTGCCGTGATTTGGGGCCATCCCTGCAGGCTGCTCAGGGCACAGAGCAGTTGGCAGCGCCTGTGCTCTGGCTACCTGCAGAACGCACAGGGCAGTGATGCAAGACAAACCGCTGGCCTGATCCAAAATATAATGAAGCCATGACGAAACGTCAGATGACTTCCATGTGCTTGGGATCGGGACCAAGAACTTGCCCCGGCACTGGCCGAGCGCCCTTTGTGCAATCGCTGGGGCCGGTGGGTGGGTGGCAGCTCCTGCCTCTCCCCCTCCCCCTCGCCCCTTCCCAGCACAGATAACATCTTCCTGGCTTTAGGGGTAATTCCTCCTGATTTTGATTCCATCTCGGGTGTTGCAGTGGCAGCGATAATGGGAGGGAAAGGGCAGAGTGACTAGGAAAAGGGCAAGGTGGTCAGTCTTGTCCTGCTTCAATCCCACCAGGTGTGGAATGGCTTTATTTGGAGTTTGGACACCGAGTTTGATCTAAGAGCAGAGGAGGGATTCCCAACGCCTCTGAAAGATAAAGATCCAGTCCCTAAGTAAGCCAGGAACTGCATACTTGTGTATCTAAGTGACCATTGCACCCCTTCTCCTCTCTGCCAGCCTGCTCTCACACCTTGGCCAGCGCTGAGCCAATGCAGGACACTCTTGTGTGTCCAGCTCGTTTCTTCCACTCAGTTTTTTTTTAATTTACCCTCTTCCATCAGCTGTCCCTCTGCAGGCATTACCCATAAATATTTGAGGATGCAGGACCAACGACAAATTCACATTGCCACTTCCATCAGCTGTGTGTTCCAGCACAGCACCCATAAACTTTTGCTCCTGAGGATCCCAAATATGACAAATCTGTATTTCAGGGTGGTCTACACCTGGCAGTATGTCCTCAGCAATATCCCATGGTTCAACAGGGTTTGTGCCACTTCAGGTGGCAGGGGCATAGCCAGAACCTGCCAGAGCAGAGTCAAATAAGGATTCACGCATCACAGTGCTCCAGCCCTGGTCCTGAGGGATGGTGGTGCGCTCAGGGGAGGCTTTGGCAGGTCTGACTGTCCCCAGTGCACCTGTCCAGCCATAAGCACCAGAGCCTGCTTCTTCCAGGGAAAGCAATTCCTCAGCTGGAACCGGGGAATGCGGCCCCTCCTCCAGAGGAGCTGCCCCCGGTGGGCTCAAGGGACACTTGAGAGCAGATTTCAGCAAATAGGCACCCAGGCTGCAGAGGAGACGGTGAATGAGCTAATGGCAGCCTTTTGGCTTTCCTTTTGCCATTGAAAGAGACTTCTTTTAGCAAATCTTGGGAGAGGGAGGGCAAGAGAATTGAGTTTAATGAAAAGCACTTAAAAGCAGCAGGGCTTTTGTCATGGGTTTAGGGATTTACTGAGACTCCCCGATCGAGGGAGGGGGAAGACAAAAGCAATTAGCCTGCTGTCCCACCCCGAGAGTCCCAGTCCCCTATAAATGCCAAGGCCATGCCTGGATTGGGCAGTTCTCCATGACAATGAGCCTCTCCCCAGTCCGGGTCAGATGATGGCCCAGAAGCCCGGGGCATAGCCCACTCCCAGGGAAATCAGCCGACAGTTGTCCTTCCTTAGGAGAAAGGCCCAAACTTCAGCCTCCATCCTCTCTGCTTCGGCAGAGCTGTGGGGATCATCCCGTAACCAGCCCTTCACAGAACGTCTGGCTTTAGGGGAGCAGTGATTTCGTGCAGATTAGCTGGTAGCCCACGGACCCCAGCTGCTGGCCACTAAAGTTAAGCATCACTTAGACAAAGAAGTCTCATCTTTGCTTGCTTTCTCCACTCTTTTTTAGGCACCCAGAGAGGTGCCTCCCCAGCTGTGGTTAAAAACAAGATAAAAACGAGATAGACAAAGAAGTCTCATCTTTGCTTGCTTTCTCCACTCTTTTTTAGGCACCCAGAGAGGTGCCTCCCCAACTGTGGTACGGATAAAAACGAGGGCAGGGTCCCGGTACTAAAGTGATTTCAGCATTTATTATAAGGAAGGGGGCCCGCGGGCCGAGCAGGAGCGTTCCCATCGAGGATGCTGGGTCTTTCTTTCAGCAGCGATGTGGGAATGTCCCCGATGCCCCAGATGGAGCAGCACAGATTCAGTGGGTCAGAAGCCCCTTTTTATCCTGTTTTTTGTCCCTTTGGATTGGTTTAATTTTGGGTCCTTCATTTGCATGAAGGTTTAAGGCGCTTGATTGGCCCATTACGGTTCTGTCCAGGCTGAGGGGCTGCACTTTACTTAGGTGTGTTATGGTATGTTGAGTACCGTATTTCTTGTAACTACCCTTTTAACAATATCATAACCAAACTAACAGTACATGCCTAACGATCTATTGACTATTTTACAACAGTTTCTGCCTATTTTTAACAGTACTGAGAAACCACGGTTGTGCTGATGACTGCGAATTCAGCTGCCTGGTACCTCTGCCACCCTCCCAGCACGCACAACTCCTAAAAAAGGCATTCCCCTCTGGAGCAGAAGCACAGTCCAGAGGCATTTCCAGAGGTGTGCTGGATCAGCAACACAGATGCTTGCTTACTGAAGCAAGGGCAACCCTCGATGAAGGGGAGAGAATGATGAGGGGGACTCCATCTTATTATAAGTTTAATGAATTACTTTATTATACTATACTATATGCATTATATTTAAGCTGAATTTGCTTTGTGCTGCACAGAGCTGCACTCATTTCTGACTGTCTCGTGACTGCCTGCAGACAGTCCTGACACCGACACACTTTTGGCCCTGACAGGCCAAGGCAACAAAACATTTTTACTTTAGGTAAACAATTTCTACATTGCATTTTACTCTGGCGCTACACAGGTACAGCAAGAGGGATCAGAATTACGCCTTTCTTCTTCTCTGCTTGTCTCACAGCTCCTCTCTGTTCAGAGGGCATGTGAGTACCACACTCGCTGGTTCCTACGTGTGGCATTTCTCCAGCACGGCGTCCTTTAACTCTGCTCAGCGCCGGCCTTATCGACCTGCCAGCGAAGGCTGGGGCAGGTACCCACTGCAGGTCTACACTTGAGCTGCTCCTCGCTACAAAAGCTCTGCCAGCACAGCTGGATCAGCCCCGAACCCCAGAGGAGACCTGGATCCCACCAACAAAGGCAGCGGCGGTGCCAGGGGAGCAGCAGCGATGCGGGGCGCTGGGAGGGGATCCCAGAGGCAGAACAGAGCCATCCCGGCTGGGAGGGGATTCCAGAGGCAGAACAGAGCCATCCCGGCTGGGAGGGGATCCCAGAGGCAGAACAGAGCCATCCCAGCTGGGTTTCATCGCCCGCCAACTCCTTCAGAAGTGGGGCTTCAATTACCGCCACTGGCCATGGGCTGTGGTTTGCTGCTCCTCTGAAGGTGGAGGCTTTGATTTGCCCTGTCGCTCACCAAGTCCGTGGAATTCGGCCGCAGTGGTGTGTTGTTGCCTGTACAGAAGGTTTTATTGCCTTTTTTTTTTTCTTTAATGGTGATTAAGGGTGATTTTTCCCAAAAAAATTTATAAATAGTTCAAATGATACAACATAAACAAGTAACCCTGCCCTTGCCCTCTCTCTATTTCTAGAGTTAAAAAAAAAAGATCATCAGACTTCTTGAGATAAGGCCCTGCGCACCCTGCAGATCTACCAGACTCTGAATGTGATGTACCTAAATTCTGCCCAGCTCAAAAGTGGAAGCTGGTCCTGTCATTCTTGTTCTGATAGCACACAAAATAAGAGGGACAAAGACTCATTTTGTAGCTTGACCAAAGAGAGTCAAGATGAGAATCAGGTCGGGCTGATAGTCCATGGATGGCTGACACCTCAGCTAGAAATAGCTGTGACAGATGGAGACTGCAATAATTGGGAAATTGATATTTCTCCTTAGCTTTTAGAGAGTAAAAAGACTCTCTACAAAATCCCTTCAAAATTAATTTTTGAAATTAATTCAAAATTAATTACAAATGAAAGAAGGAAAACATGGATTTGCCTTTTCTTTTTTGTCCTGTTTGGCAGAAGTCTCCATCAAGCTGAATTTCCCCCCCTGTTCCCCCCCTCAACATTTTCTGTTAAAAAGAAGGTTGACGGAACGTTTTTGACCAAATTACTGAGTGCAATATTCACCTGGGTAAGGTGACGAGAATTTGCCCCTCAAGGAATAACTGAAGTGTGATGTAAAACATCAAAGGTGTTATTTTTTTTTTTTACCTTATACCTGAGCTATCTCTGAATCATATCAAATAATCTTCTCGTTTCATAACACCATACAATGCAGGCTAAAAGTGTATGTGATCTGCTTTGTGTACTGCTGA